CTGGCCGGCCCTGCAGGTCGGGCTGGGGTCTGGCGGGCAGAGCAGCCCCTCGCAGTGGGCCGGGGTGCACGTCTCCACTCGGGAACCACCACAGATCTGCAGAGGGAGAGAGCAGTGGGGCAGCAAGGGCACTCGAGTGCCCTCGGGGAGGGAAACCAGGCTATGGCAGAGCTGGAGTTCCTGCAGCCTGTCCCCAGGGGAGCTGTGGGACTTGGTGTGCTTGTGCTGCCGAGCCCAGGGGCAGCAGGGACGGGCCAGCCCTCCCAGCAGGGCTCACAGAGATGCACGTGGCACATCACAGACCACCAGAGACCACGACTGTGTCAGAGGCAGCCAGAGGTACACACGTGTTGGGCAGCACTGAACACCCACCCCAGAGACAGCAACGCCAGGTCAGCATCTCCTCACCACCCCAAACTGGAGTAGAAACGAGAGCAAAGCAGGAGCTAAACCCCAGCAGCTCTCAGAGAGCAACAGGGCACGTCTGCAGGGAGCAAACGTCTCATTTACTTGTCAGGACAGCTACTCCTCCTCTGGTGCCAGGGGTACTCTGTCCAATCTGTGCAATTTGCTTTGGGATGAGAAGACCCTTCTCTGTTGCCTGGACATCAATGGCTCTAATTGCATGGCATCTTCTAGAGTTACCACCCACTGCAGCAGGACACGTGCAAACCCAGAGCCAGCACAAGCACTAGCACAGGCTGGTGGCTTGGGAATGTGTTGCTGCCCTGAGAAGCAGAGAGGGGAGGCTGGTGGTCTCCACAGCAACCGTGCATTAGGAGACACCGAAATGGATCTCCATGGCAATGACAAAGCAGCCAAGGAGAAATAAAAGAAACCTTATCCAGAAATTAAGTGAGTCTTTGAGATACAAGAACTGACACTAGAGAGTCCTTGGAGGAAAAAGTGAGTGTTTAGGAGGGGGTGGTGGGTAATGCTTCAGTATCTGTGATCCCCAGGCAAGGGATGCTCAGACAATTCACTGATGTCCCAAAGCAGCAGGTTGCTAGAGTGCATGTACGAGTCTCTCTGGGCAGAGACTGTGTCTTGTGCCACGCTGGACTGCATGGCTGCAGGACGAGGCTGCTGCCTCCTGAAAACTACACACGCGCAGTGGGGAAGCCACATAACCACTTTGTATCTTCACCTGATTTATGACGGGGGTGAGGTTGGGAGAGGAGGTGATCTGGCCCTTCAGGGTCAGCAGGTTGGCACTGGCCTCCGCCAGCCCCTGCTCCAGCGCCGCCGCGCGCCTGCGGCTCTCCCGGGACTCGGCCAGCAGCCCGGACGTGCCAGCAGCAAGGCTGCTGGCATTGGTGGAGGTCTGGTAAGCAGATCTGATTGTCTTGAAAGCTCCTGCAGGAATAAAACTGATAAATGACACAAATGCCTCTGTGACTCATAAATGCAGCATAGCTGCCTAAACTGGAGTATTGACTGTACCCAGCGAGTGGATGTGTGCGCAGAGAGAAGGGAGGCACAGCCAGAGTGATTAGTCACTATAGCACACTAAAAAGCTCTTTTCATTTCCAAGCCACATAACCACTTTGTATCTTCACCTGATTTATGACGGGGGTGAGGTTGGGAGAGGAGGTGATCTGGCCCTTCAGGGTCAGCAGGTTGGCACTGGCCTCCGCCAGCCCCTGCTCCAGCGCCGCCGCGCGCCTGCGGCTCTCCCGGGACTCGGCCAGCAGCCCGGACGTGCCAGCAGCAAGGCTGCTGGCATTGGTGGAGGTCTGGTAAGCAGATCTGATTGTCTTGAAAGCTCCTGCAGGAATAAAACTGATAAATGACACAAATGCCTCTGTGACTCATAAATGCAGCATAGCTGCCTAAACTGGAGTATTGACTGTACCCAGCGAGTGGATGTGTGCGCAGAGAGAAGGGAGGCACAGCCAGAGTGATTAGTCACTATAGCACACTAAAAAGCTCTTTTCATTTCCAGATGCCTTTCAGCCCTTCCTTCAGTGAGCTACAGAGCTTTTCTGAAGGACTCAGCTCTGGGTGGGAGCTAAAAGACTGAAGCAAAACTAAAGCAAGATGATGTGTGAGTGCTGATTGTGAGCTTTGCTCTGCACAGCCCCCAAGGGCTTTGGTGGGGCAGGACTGGGCTCACAGAGCACCTTCCCTGGCTCCCAAGCAGGCCCCACAATTCCCCCTGGCACAGCCTGGAGGGAGTGTGGTCAGGACATGACCTCTAAGCCCTGCTGGGACAGGGGGTGCAGAATGAACCACCCCAGCAGTGGCCACTCACCACAGCTCTCACATGCCCGGCCGGCAGAGCCGCTCGGCAGCGGGGAAGGAGAGGCAGCAGTGGGACATTGGAGACAAGAGCTGTAGAGAGGCTCTAATGGCAGCCCACCACCAGCATCATCACAGGGCTTAATTAGCTCTTCTCCTAATTGCCTGACAGCCGTCTGGCACTCTTCCCCACCCCTCCATCCCTTCCATCTGTGCACAGCCTTCATTATCTCAGCTTCCTCCCAGGTTCGGTGACATGCTCCCAGCAGGGCTCCCCCTCTTCCCACCACTCCTGCTGCATCCCAGCAGCAGAGTTGTGCTGCCCAGGGGATGGGAACATGGTGCTCATGGAATGAGCTGCCCAGCCCCAAAATGCTGGAGCAAATAATCAGATAGTGTGAAATCCTGGGTCATGGATGTGAGGCTGGGTAGAGAACATACCCTTGTTGGGGAGGGAAGGTGCATTGTAGTTCCTAAGCTAATAGCAGGTTAAAAACTCCGTCTCCTCCACCTGGCCCATGGGAAACCACCAGGCACAGTCATGTTGAAGTAAATTAACATCTGCAAATTAAGAGATCTTACAGCTGCAGCACAGTACCTGACAGGTCCGTGCTGCGGCTGGTTTCAAACTGGCTCCTCTTGCTCTGGTACTGGGTGTTGGTGACCAGCAAGCTGCTGTTGAGGGCTTCGAGCTCTCTTGACAGAGAGGCAGTCTCATCCAGGAAACGAAGGTCAGGATTTATACCTTCAACCTGCTCTCTGGGAGAGAAAAAGCAAAAAAAAGTGAATTCAAGTAGGCAGCAAAGCACCTTTAGACAGAGTGGGGCTCTGCCAGCACCCGGGGAAGGGGCAGTTCTGAGCCTGCAGAGCTGCAGCTGAAGACACACGGTGGCCTCGCAGGTTTGCAGTGGCAGAGGAGAGCAGGGCTGGGCTGCAGCTCCTCACCTCACAGGGACCAGGCCTGCGGATACACCCGGGGGATGCCGATCATCCCGAGCCTGCCCGCCCGCCTCCTGCACCCAACGGGCGCACATGGAAGCGCTGTTCTCTGCGGGAACCGAGCAGTTCTCAGACAGAGCAGCAAAGCAGAACACGTGCAGGCGGTTCAGTGCGGCAGGGGGCGTGAACACGCAGCAAAGAGCCAGCATCCCCTCCTGACTAAGGATGCACCCTGTTAGCAGCACCCATCCCTCACCTGATGGCAGCGAGGGCGCTGCCCACCCGGGCCAGGCTCTGCTCTGTCGGGGGGGAGCGGCCGAGGATG